CACAGGAGCCTGGAGCACCATCGCGCCCGCGGGGCACAGGGACATTGAGTTGGGGGACTGAGCCTTTCCGCTATAGCTCGCTGCCTTGGAGGTTCCACCGCCTCTTGGAAGGCCTCTGAGGGGGGAGGGCGGGCTGTGAGTTAGTGTTCCCTGCCCTGGCCCTAGTTTTCCGGGGCCCCCAGACCCAGACTGCTGCCCCAGAGCTTGCAGAAGAGGGAGTCGGGGGGTAGGGGGGGGGCCGCTAGTGGCTGCAGCCGGTGTTTCCAATTAACATTCCAAAATGGCCTCTCGCTGGCAGCAGGCGGGCAGGCGGGAGGGAGGGGAGGCCGACGCAGGGCCCGAGCCTTGCTGCAGACGCTCCCCATCTCTCCTCCCTGTAAAGCCCTGGTGGCTCTCCCCCTCCCTGGATCCAAGGCGAGGGGGGTCTTGTGTTCTGAGGGAGGGTTTTGGAGCAGTGGAGCTGGGGCCTCATGAATCTGCCCCTTGGGGGGAAATGACCGGCCAATACAGACTCTGGTTGGGGGTGGGGGCAAGCCCTGGACTCCCAATCCGAGGCGCAGGCCTCTTTGCTTCTAACCCCGACACAGCTCTGGCCTCTGCAGTCCTGTCTACAAGCGGTTTGCAGACCCGCCGGTGCTGGCCCGAGATGGGGCTGTCTGCTTTCGCTGACACTTAGCCATTAGTGGGCAAACCCCGGGCGGGCCAGGTGCGCAGAGGAGCTGCAGAGGAGGGAGGAGCTGGGGCCTGTGCTCGGGGCCCTAACGCTGGTGGTATGGCTGGGGCCCTGAAGCCTAATGAGTAAGGGTTTGGAGCTCAGGCCTGTTACTTCCCCTCCTGGGGCCTCAGTTTCCACATCTGTGAAGTGGGTCATAGGACAGATGTGGGGAAAACAGGAGAAGGTACATGTGTGACTGACCGGCACAGCCCATGTTGGCTGTTGTGATGGTGCTTGACACGGGGACCCCTGACTATCGTTGGTCTTGTGTGGCCCCCATTGGGGCCGGAGCACTGGCCAGGGGCATGGCCAGCCTCTCACCCAGGCCCTGCCTTGCCCTGGCCACAGGTGGTTTCAACAAGTTCCAGACGGAGTACTCGGAGCACTGCGAGACCAACGTGGACAGCTCGTCCTCGCCCAGCAGCTCGCCGCCCACCTCCGTGCTGGGCCTGGGGGGCCTGCGCATCAGCTCTGACTGCTCGGACGGGGAGTCGGACCGGGAGCTGCCCAGCAGCGCCACCGAGTCGGACGGCAGTCCTGTGCCGTCCAGCCAGCCGGCCTTCCCCGTCCAGATCCTGCCCTACCTCTACCTCGGCTGCGCCAAGGACTCCACCAACCTGGACGTGCTTGGCAAGTACGGCATCAAGTACATCCTCAACGTGACGCCCAACCTGCCCAACGCCTTCGAGCACGGCGGCGAGTTCACCTACAAGCAGATCCCCATCTCCGACCACTGGAGCCAGAACCTGTCCCAGTTCTTCCCCGAGGCCATCAGCTTCATCGGTAGGTGCTGCTGTGCTGTGGGTGGGGAGGGTGGGCAGGCGCGGCAAGATGTGTACAGGACTCTGGGTGTAGCCACGCCTGACTGGGTACCTCTGGGCCTGCCGAGGCCTGTGTGTGCCCTGCATGTGCCAGCGTGTGCCCATGGGTGTACCCGTGCCCGCTGTGAGTCACCGAGGCCCCCCAGTCTGAGCAGTCCCTGGGTCTCGGGCACCTCAGACCCCTCCTGCCCAGCCTGGCCTTTCTGGCTGCTGTTTCGGGCTGAACGAGCTGGAACATCACAGCTCTCAGACCTCCCACGGGTCTCGCTGGCTCTGCCTCACACCCCAGCACACGTGTCTGCAGGCTGGGGCTGTCACGGTGCCTCCGTGGGCTCTACTGTATACCTGAGGGAGTTCATGGGGGGGTCTGGAGCCAGAGGCCTACCCCCCACAGGCAGCTGTTGGAATGTGGGGACCCAGAGCGCCTTGGTGGGGCCCCAGATGCTCCCGGGTAAAGGGGGTGTAGAGAGAATGTGGGGGAGGCTGCCCCTAGAGCAGCGTGTTCTGCTGTGTGGCTTAGAGCCTCCTACAGCCCAGCCTCAGCTGACTTGGTCTCCATGAGCTGCCTTATCTCTGACCCCCCCCCCACCATCCTGCTTCCTCAGCCAGCTGGAGGCTGCTGGACTCGGGGTCGTCTTCCCGGGCCCCCCTCTCCCAGGGAGTGGGGAAGGGACCAGTGAATGGAGACCCGGGCTTCTGCCCGCCTCCGGTGGCAGGGAGGGTGGCCAGGGCAGTCTTCTCTGCTGGCGGCCGTGTCCGGTGAGGGCGTTTGGGTGTCAGCTGGGCTGGGCTGGGCTGGCTTTAATAACAGGAAGTGGGAGGCTTCCCCGCCTCATCCGCTTACTGGGAACCAAAACTAGGTGCCTGGCTGGGAGGAAGGAAGGAAGCGGAGGCCTAGGGGAGGGGCTGGGGCTGCCCGGGGAGGGGGACCCCCTCCCCCGCTGTGGTGCTGCCTCAGCGTCTGTGCTGACCCCAGTGAGGGAGGGGAGGGGAGGGACCCCGGATTCCCAGGGGCTGAGTCTGGCTTGTAGATGCCTTTCTCCTTCTTGAAAGCCCCTCTGCGTCTGGGGAGGGGACGGAGCAGGGTGTAAGGGGGCACCGTTATTTCCCACTTGACGAGGAGGGAGTGGAGGCCCAAGCATCAGAGGACGCAGCGGGACAGGACCCAGCGCCAGCCCCCCACTGCTCAGCCACACCCCAAGGCTAAAAATGAAGCACGGAAGTGGTTTCACTTTGGATCACACAGGAGTGGGTTGGGGGCCAGGCGTTGCCCGTATCCTGATGTGTCACCACTAGAGGCCCATCTCTCCCCGCCTTCTGCCCCCAATCTCAAGGTCAGACCACACGGCTCCCCGTGAAGCCACAGCATCCGTCTTCCCCTGTCAGTCCCTGAGTCTCAATTAAGTACCTACTGAATGCTTAGCCCTGGGGAGCCCTGGAGGTGGGGAGGGGAAGCTCGGCCAGGCCACAGGCTGTGGGCACCAGGTGAGGGGCGATCTGTGACCCCCCGGGGCATCGTTAGGAGTGCACTGATTGAGCACCGACTGGATGCCCTGCCCAGTGAGCTCACAGGCAGGGAAGTGGGAGCCTTGAGGGCCCTGGGCTGCCTCTTGTTAATCTGTGAACCTGGCACGGCTGTGGTGCTGAGAGGGGCAGCTGCCCTGGGTCCAGGGGAGGGGAGATCACAGGGCGAGTGGTTCAGTGGCTCCACCTGTATTTGTTGAGCTCCTATCCGAGGCAGAGGAGCCTGAGAGCTGAGGGTGGGGGGGGAGTAGGGGGGAGGGGTGTCGGCAAGGGTGGCAGAACCTGGTTGGTTGGTGGAAGATGTCACTGGCCTGTAGGCCCATTTCAGCAAACCCCACTTGTGAGCCCTCCTCCCTGGCTAGCCAGAGCCAACTGCGGGGCCGGGCCCCTAGTCCCTTTCTGAGGGGCACCCACAGGGTGCACGTAATGGGCTGGCCATAGTGGGTGCTGCGACTTGGGAGGAGCCCCCATGGCCTGGGGCTTGTCACGCTGCCCCTGTGTCTGTCTCCTCATCTGTGAATCAGCTCACTAGCCGTGGGTGCAGGTGACGCCCGCAGCTCACTCGTGGCAGCAGAGGGACCAGCAGTGATTACGGGGCCACAGCCCGTGTCTGGGGGCCCTCACTTGGCTCAGGTCCTTATAAGAGCCCTGCTCACGGGCCTGCTCTGTAGACGAGCAGCCGAGGCCCGGCGTCCGGTGGCCTGGTCTGACGCCTGGCAGAGCCCTCCCCACGTCCTGCTCTTGACCTGCCTCAGGCTGCTGTCCCGCAAGAGAGGCAGCACCAGCCCGTCCCCACGCCCCCCTGGGGGCCGCCCTCCCGCGGCTCCTGGAGGAGGCGCCCTGACCCCGGCCCGTGTGTTTCAGACGAGGCGCGCTCCAAGAAGTGCGGCGTCCTGGTGCACTGCCTGGCGGGCATCAGCCGCTCGGTGACGGTCACTGTGGCCTACCTGATGCAGAAGATGAACCTGTCACTCAACGACGCCTACGACTTCGTCAAAAGGAAAAAGTCCAACATCTCACCCAACTTCAACTTCATGGGGCAGCTGCTGGACTTCGAGCGGACGCTGGGGCTGAGCAGCCCGTGCGACAACCACACGCCCAGCGAGCAGCTCTACTTCTCCACGCCCACCAACCACAACCTGTTCCCCCTCAACACCCTGGAGTCCACGTGAGGCCGGGCCCCGTGGGCAGGGTCCCGGCCTCCCCAGGGAGCCTGAGGAACCCGGACATCGCCTGTGCCCGGAGGCCAGGCCGACGGGTGCTGAGCGCTCACCATCCGGGGGACGGAGCCCAGCAGCACTCCCCGCGCAGGACTCGGAGGGGCCCTGCCTCAGACTCAGGGCTGCAGAACAGACGGGGCCAGGACACTTCCTGCGAATGGCCCAGCCAGGTGGGCGGTTTTTAAAGACACCACGGACCGAGTTCACTTTTTATTTGGCAGGTAAACCCAAGCCCCGGGGCACCGTGAGGCCACGTCTTCTTGACTTTCCTTTTTTAACGAAAAGTGTTATTTTCAGGCCACATGCAGCAGTGGATTGTATAAACCAGTATTTCATCCCTTTCTTGATCCTGCGAGAGAGAGAAGTGTTCTCAGTTTTGTTTTCCTTTCTATTTACAAATGCCGTTACTGGTTTTTTGTTTGCTTTTTTTTTTAATGGAAAAGACGAACCCCCGTGTTGATCTTGACCAAATGCATTTTGCACATGTGTGAAGCCTGTTTCTGCAGCGGGCCCTTCTCGAAGGGGGGACCCCGCCGCACCCATGTTCCCCCCCCCCCCCCCCCCCGTGGCCCTGCGCTGGTCTGGAGAAGCTGCCGGGTGCGATGGGGCTGGGCCAGTGGTCTCTGCATTCTCTGCCCTCCCTCTCGTCCCTCAGGTGGGCCCGCAGACTAACCACGACAGGAGCCGGAGGCCCTGCAGCTGTCCTGCTGGCGGGGAGGGGACACAAGCAGTAGCATTAGCACTCTGGGCTCGGCCCCTGGGAGGGCCTGGGCCCGGGCCTTTTCTCTACAAACCCACTACTTCTGTCTCTTTCTCTCTGTTTGTTGGTAACAGTGGAGGCCCAGTGGCTGGGGGAAGCTCAGGTGGTAGGGGCCCCGCCATGCCTCCCAGGTGTCTGTCCGTCACCCTGGCTGTTGCTTTGGGTCCGCTGCCACTCCCAGCCCCTTGGTCCAGTGAGGCCTGCCCAGCGCTCGTCTTGCCCATGCCTTCTGCGACCAGGAACCTCGTACCCATCCCATTTCCGGCCCGGGCAGGCGCAGAGGGGCGAGGGTGGGTGGGCAGTGAAAGGGGTGCAAGGCTCTGTCCTCCAGCCCCACCCCCAGTATCCACAGAACAAAGCCACGGATTCCGTTAGCCTCTCCAGTTTTGTTCCTTCTCCAGCCTCAGTTCTACCGGGTGTCGGGACCGTGTGGGGCCAGGGCGGGGAGCGGGTGGCCGGGTCCCTGAGCGGGGCCGTGGCCCCTCTGCCCCACTGCATCTTACCTCTCGGGGGTTGTTTTCAGGGATTCTTCAAGGCAGCAGATTCAAATCTTGCCACAGTCGAGAAATTGACAAAAAGCTTCCATGCTGTACATGGTTCTCTTTCTCTCTCTTTTTTACTTTTAAAGAGAAAAACCCAGAAAGATGCATCAGATTTGTGTAAATGAGAGTATGCCAAGAGGGGCCAGTTTTGCTTTATGACCTTATGAAGGAAAATTTGTGACCCTACATATATGTACACACACACACACACACATCCCGAGCCAGCGACGGGACTTTGTTTATATTGCAAATAAATATTATTTTTTCTTTAAAATGAATCGTGGTGTCTGAAGGGCCGGGGACCAGGGGACCCTGTGGCCAGCATCCAGCGCCTGTTCGGTGTGAAGTGGTGGCTGGGGTCTGCCGGCACTTGCTCCGCTCGGTGGGAGGTGCCCACAGCCGGGAGGAGCGCCCCGCCTCGGGGAGAAGCGGGGTGTGGGCATTCCACGGCCCCGGGCACTGGCAGGCCGGGCACCGGCTTTCTCTGGGCTTTCGCTGATTGGCTGACAGGAGAAGGAGGCTTGGGCCGGTTTCGTGGACCAAGGTCCCAAAGCTGAGCCCCGCTCTGCATCTCCTGAGTCTGTCTGCTGGGACATTGTCCAGGTGGCCCAGGGCTCTGTGCCCTGCAGCCCCAGGCCCTGTGGGTGGGACAGGGGCTGCCCACTGATCACTCTCCCCTACCCCTGCAGCAACGGGGTGCCAGTGGGGCATGAAACCTGTCAGGGACGGGTCAGCCTGCTGCTCCTTTGGAACTAGCTGACCTGCAGGTCCCTCAGCCTCCCTGAGCCTGTTCCCATCTCTGTTGAGGGGGGCCAGTCGCCCAGACACCCAGTATCCATTTCCTGGTCAGCCTGGGCCTAGGGGGGAGTTGGCCATCCACGCAGGCCCTCTGGGGCTCAAGGCTGGGCCCTGCCGGGAAGGGCCAGCAGAAGGATGGTGCCACGCCCGGGGCAGTGAGGCCCCAGTGGTGACAGCCCCAGGTTACAGACGGGGAGCCGGGCTTCAGAGGGGCTTACGTCTCCTTCATCTCTAACTGGATTGAGTGACCCCAGTCAGGGACCAGGAGGCTTGGGCGCTGACTCGGTTTCCCCATCTCTGCCTCTCACGTGACTTGATCCCTTCCCTCCATGTGACCTTTCCCAGGGGTCGCTCTGGGCTCTTTCTCTCCCTGCCCCGGCTCTGCCTGGAGGGAACCTGACCAGAATGACCAGAACCATGGCACCGGCAAGCCTGTGTGGGGTAGAGGGCCGGCTCTGAGCGAAGGGACCTGGGCCGCGTCCCGGCTGTGTGGCCGCCAGCTCCTACCCCTCTCGCTTGGAATGTGGGCACTGCTGTGTGGCCAGCAGGCCCGTGCGGGGGGCGCGGGGGGGGGGGGGGGCGACTTGCATCCTTGGCAAAGGGGTGGGTGCTGCTTTAGCTCTTGCACTTCCTTGGGGGCCTGGTCCTTCTGTGCCAGGGGCGGGCGAGGGGGTGGGAGCCTGGGCAGGCAGAGACTGGGCCTTTGTTCGCTCTCACTGCCCTCGGCCAGGGCTGGGGAAGCCCGCGGGTGCCCGGCTGGGGGCTGGGCCCTCGACAGGCTGAGTAAGTGCCTGGCAGTGCCAGCGTGCCCAAGCACAGGACGGAGGGAGGCGGCCGCAGGAGAGAGGCCTCCCCCACAGGGCCCTCCCCAGGCCAAGTGGCCTCTCTGACCCTCAGTGTCCTCATGGGCACTGTGCCTGCCGGGACAGAGGCCCAGGTCCTGCTGGGTGGCTCACTGTGACCTTGGGTCCTCACTGGGTGGCCTTGAGCAAGGCCGTGCTTCCTCTGTGTTCACCGAGCCCCAGGTTCTCGCTTCCTGGTCCCTCTGTTCTGGCTCAGGGTCCCCTCGGAGCTCTTATCCCACCTGCTCCTTCCGCCCCCCCCCTCCCCCCCCGCCCCTCATGGGCCCTGTGCAGCCCAGGCCGCCTGTGGCTGAGGCCCTGGGTGCCTGTGTCCCCTGAGCTCCTGGACACCAGCTCTCTGGGGTGGACCGGCTTTGTCTCTGTGTCCTCAGTCCCATCTCTTTCCTCCTGACCTTCCTCTTCCTTTGGGTCCCCTTTTCCTTCTCCATCTCAGCCCAGTTCCCAGCGACGCCTCATCCATCGCTCAGACACCTCTCAGCGTTCTCACGGGAGGAGGACCTGAGCCACCCACCCGCTCACACATTCATCCCACAGCCATTTCCGGTGCCGGCTGGGCCATCCCGGGAGTGGGGGAGTGGGAACATGCCCAGGGGGTTCAGTGATGTCAGGCTGGGCGGCAGGATAATGGGGCCCTCACTTGTCCTCCGACAAATGAATCAGGTGCAACAGCAGCAGTGACTAAGGCCAGACACAAGAACGGACTTGTAGCATGGGGCACAGTCACCTGCGGGAGGTCTGACAAGACCACAACAGACGTGAGCACTTCCTTAGGGTGGGTCTGCTGAGCAGGGGGGGGCGGGGGGGGAGCCTCAGGAGAGCCGCCACCCCACAGCCCCTCCCCAGCGAGCAAACACAGCCATTCATCCTCATGGATGGGGCGGGCAGCAAGCCCATGTGGCCCCTGCCCCTTCCCTGCTGCCGCCACTGCCTGGCACCCTCAGGCCTGCCCCCACCCTGTCTGCACTGGGCTGCCCTCCGGTCAGTGTGGATGTGGCCGAAACGTCAGCCCCCCGCACCCAACCCTTTCAGACGCCGGGGGCCTGGCGGGAAGCAGGTGCGCCTGGAGGGAGGCACCCAGGAGCCTGTGGTCTGATCTTTGACACGTTTCCCCACTGGTTCTGGGCCTCCTCTGGGCACAGCTCTCTCACCTCTTCCCAGAGGCCCCCTGGGCTCGCTCCCCTCTGACTGCCGGTACCCGGAGGACCCGAGAGCCTGGGAGAGTTCCGGATCCTCCTGCCCCCCCGCCCTGTGCAGACGGGGAAGCAAGGCTCAGCCGGTCAGAGGGAGACAGGGTCTGCTGCCGGCGTCGCTCCTTCCAGATCCTGCCTCCTCCATCCGGCTGGGAGCTTCTCCCCCCGGCCCCGTGAGGGACCAGATACTCACACACAGACACACACACACACACACACACACACACACACACGGCCCCTCATTTCTCAGATGGAACAGACCCAGCAGGTCTCAGTGATGGAGGAACCTCCTGCTGCTCCGGCCTGCAGGCCTTTGCACAGCCTTTCCTCCCCTGGAGTTCTCTGCATCACCCGCACCTGCTGCCAGCAGCTTCCTCTCTCTAGCTAACATGCTGCTTCCTCCAGGAAGCCTTCCCAGACTCCTCCCCCAACTGGGGGGCTGGTGCCTGCTCTGGCTCCCTTGGCCCTCTGTGCAGCCCCATCCCCTGGAGGCCTGGCTGGCCAAGGTGCTGGGTCTGGCTGGGATCAGCAGTTCTCTGGCCACTGTCTGGGCCACCTCTGGGCACTTGCCCCGCTCTGGATGTCAGGCCTGTGACCTGTGCGCATGGCGTGTGTCACAGAGTGCGTGCCGCACTGTGTATGCCGCATGCCCGGGTGCTGTTGATTCTGCACCTGCTCAGAGCTGCGGGGGGGGGGGGGGACGGGCACCTCTCTGCCACTGACTGGGCTCCTGCCTGTGCCCACCGGGATCGCTGCCTTCCCCTTTGGTTGCCGAGAAGGGCTGGCAGCTCCTGTTTATAAATGCCTGCCGCTGCCTCAGCTAAGTGGAGGGGTCTGGAGGCCACGCTAATTGATTAATTAAGCCCTCTCAGTTAATTAGCTCCGTCCCTCCAGGGGAAAAAAGCCTCACTCTGGAGCCAGATCTCCTCTGGGCTGGGGGAGGGTTAATTGGCCTGGGTCAGCTGAGCCCGATGCCAGGTGCGGGGGGCAGTGGCGAGGTGGGGCAGGGAGAGCAGTTGTGGGCACTGAAGCCATCCAGGCCGCCAGGCGGGCGGAAGGGGCCCCCAGCTCCTGGTGACCCTGCCCAGCCTCTGGCTCTTCCCCTGAGCCCGGAGGGGGCCGGAGCCAGGAAGATAAAACCGTCCACAGTGTGGTCAGCGGCCCACACAGGGCTAGGAAGACTCCAGACCTGAGGCCTTGAAGGGCCGCACGAGAGCTTGCTGGACACGGAGGCCAGGGCAGCTTGGAGCCGAGGAGGGACCCAGGCAGGTTTGGGTTTGGTAAAGGTGGCGGGGGTTGCTGGGGGAGAATGAGGGGGGCTGGGAGCTGGCAGGATGGAGGCATCAGGTGTCCAGAGAGAGTGAGGCCCACAGGGGTGGGTACTTGGGGGAGGCTAGTGCTGTGCAGCCTGGGCCCCCTAGTCCCTTCTCTGGGCCTCCCTCCCCTCGTCTGCCAGGTGGGGGACATTTCCTGGGGCCACAGGCTCAGATGTCCCTGCGTGTGTCCTTGTCCCAGGACCAAGCGCCTTCTTCACCCCCTTGCTCTCTGCAGGCTCCCAGGCACCCCTCCTCCCTGGCTCACATGAGTGCACAGAGCAGAGCCCAGCCCCCAACACGGGGTCCCCCCTGCACGCTCTGCAGTATCGAGGGGCCTCCATGGGGTGCACACTGCACTCAGGCTGGCCTGGGAGCAGAGGGGACCGGCCAGGGGTAGGAGGCCAAGAACGCGGGCATCTGACCACCGCAGGCAGCGGGCAGGGCTGCGCTTTGGCACGAAGCCTGCCCCGGGCTGGTCCTCAGCTCCCCGAGGGGCTGCCCAAGTGGGAACAATGACCCTTTCACGTCACGCCTCCTCCAGTCACAGCAACTTCGGCGCCGAAGGACAAAGGCGCCGTTTCATCCTTGTTGGGCTGGATCAACAGCCGCTGCCCCCACCCGGGAGCAGAGGCCGCCCGCCCAGCTCGCCCAGCCCGCCCGGCCCGGCACTCCTCCCCATCTGGCCTGGCCACGGGCATCCCAGCGACCCTCCTCCGTCCTTCCGTTTCCCTCTGGGCTCCATCAGGCTGGGTCAGAGGGTTTGCCATGAGGATGCCAGGCTCTGCCCTGGCCCCCCTGCCCCAGCCTCGGTCTTCCTCCTGCGGGCAGGGCCGGCTGAGGCGGCCTCCCGGGCTCCACTCCCATCTGCAGCCCCAAGGAGTCCGACTTTCCACTTGGGCTCTGTCCCAGCAGGACTGGCCCCCAGGAGAGAGGGGTGGGGAGGGGCCCTGGCCCAAGGGGAGGGAGAGCCGAGGAGGCCTCTTAGTCCTCTCCAGGCCGACCTTCCGGTGACTTCCGTGGTGTGGGCTACCTTAAGGCTCCCTCTGCTCGCCCCTGGGCTCGCCCCGCCCTCCACGAGCACCTGGCTGTAGAGGCAGGCGGGCCAGG